TATCTTTGTTAAGAAAGGGACAAAAAACTTCCAAGTCCTTCCTAGAATGGAATGAAAAATTTGATTATGATGTGCATTCATTTCCACACTTTCACATGCCCAATATAATAGGGACTAGTCCTTTCTTATTGCTTCATCCTCCCAGATGAAGAAAAAGAATGTCACTCAAACTCAGTGTTATAAAGTTATTTTCATTCCCAAGTCCTGATAATAAAGTTACAAAATACAGTCAGAATAACTTAATATAAATATTACATCAGAATCAGTGAAAATCCAAAACATCAAAAAGACTTTTCATTATAATAGTGTTGCTCAATTTGTTCTGATGTTTAGGATATTTTTGCCCAGATAGAATAAGGACTTGTTGGCAAATATAACAAACGTATAGCAATTGCGAAAGAATCATTTTTATTAAACCTGTTTGTTAGTCTGATCAATGATGTTAATATCCCAGTAAATGCAAAATTCCATAATCTTTCACACCAATAACTCAAAAGTCATTTTTACTGTGCATGAGCCACCAACAAAAGGAAATGGATTTGATTATCTATAAATTAGTTTATGTGACATCTGTGATATATTTTAACTAGCTTACTCATTGGTGGTGGTGGGGGTTGTGGTAACAAAGAGTGCCACCTGAGTCTGGAGCCCAAAGATGTGGAGAGTTGGATGGCATACAAGTTTAATAGTTTATTATTCTTTACTTCATCTTTGCTTTTATCCTTGGCAGTGTTACTGGCGAGCATATGCTGTAGGGGATGTAGAAAAAATGGCACTGGTGAAGCTAGCAAAGTGAGTATGGCATTGTATTTCTCTTGCCTTACTTCCTCTATTAAGACTGCAATATTTTAAATATGGAATGTTTCTGTTTTAAAAGGAAAGAGAAAGTGGGGCTTGTAAAGGCATGTGGGCAGCAGATGTGTTACATCATTGTACTACGGGTATTTTTCCCTAGAAATGCAGTTCATGTGTGATTAACTTTCTGAGCTTCTGCCTAAAAGCCCCTTGCAGGGTGAATCAAGTTCTACAGCTTTGTACTCAAAAGTATAATGTTGAGTAGGAACCTCCTGCTCACCTGATCTTTTTATCATCAGCCAAGAGCATCCTCTTACTATTTGTGTCCTTTCTTAGACTTCATGAGCAATTGAATGAATCGGAACAAGCTGCCCAGTGTTATATCAAATACATCCAAGATATCTATTCTTGTGGGGTAAGTGAGTTCTAAATAAATTTGAGAGGAAATATAGGAAAATCCCCAAAGTCCTTACAGGTAATCCTTGGCCTAGGATGGAATTGGGATTGGATTTTCTGTTGTAAACTGTGATGTCACATGACCGCATCACTTTGCAGCTGCAGTCCCAGTAGTCTCAGTTGCCATCATAACCCCAGGATTGTGTGGGTGGGAATCCCAGGCAAGCAAACTGGTCACTACTACAGGCAGGTGCTAGGGAGCAGGGAGGGGAGTACCATGGGTGTGTGGAAGGTGCCCGTAGTGGGCATGGGGATGGCTGTAAATGCAGGTGGCTCAGATGTTGATCACATAATCATGAAGGTGCTGAGATGGCCAGAACTTTGAAGACTCATAAGTCATTTTTTTCAACTCTAACTGAAACATTTAGTTGTGACTTTGAATGGCTGCTGAACAAATGGATGTAACCCAAGAACTACATGTATTGTATCCCAGGAAATAGGGGAGAACTTGGAAGTAAGCACCGCCTTCCGCTACTTGGCTCAGTATTACTTCAAGTGTAAACTCTGGGATGAAGCCTCAGCCTGTGCCCAGAAATGCTGCGCCTTCAACGATGTGAGTAACAGCTCCAGTTTAAGTGAGTTTTTCACTGGGGCTTTATACCTACTTCATACCTATCCCCATATGTATGTATACAACATTAATATATGAGTCCCTTCTCCCCCTTCATTTGTCGCTAGGCCAAAAGCTGTATCCTCCATGCTTGGTGTAATTCATATCTAAAAGTAATCTGGCACAGCTACTGTTTTAACTTAGGATGGTAAAAAATAATGCCTTGTGATGAGATAGGTGGCAAATAAATTTAATAAATAATTATTTAGTAGAGGTGGCCCTTATTATTTGTAGGAATTCCATTTCAACCTAATAAGTAGATAACAAAACTGCAGCCAACGAGATCTTGGAAATAATTTATTCTATAGAGTGTATGAATTCTACAGAATTTATTCTACAAGTACTTCTTCCCAATAATTTTTTGGTTTATTCAGACATTTGTGTATTTGCAATTTGCAAACAACTTTTGGCTGTTAAAATGGTGACAAATATAACAGAGCTTACTACTTTTCTTTCTTATCAGAGAATGAAGTTCTTTAAATTAATACAGACAGATCCCAGAAAGCATATAGGCCATTACAAGAAATATTCATGTAGCTGCCTCCTCCATCACATATGATCAATACAAAAGGCAGCATATAGCTGTCTCAGTATGTTGCAGAATTCACCTTTGCTTAGCTGCCATTCAGCTGTTTAATGGACTAAGGAGATTGATACTGTAATATACTCATATGCACAAGAGATTTACCATTACTGTATATCCTCTTTTCCATCTATTGTGTGTGTACATTCTTTTTTTTTAATATAAAACATTACCTATAGTTATAATTTAGTGTGATGTGCCTGTGCTCAGGAACATCCATATAACTTCTTTTCTATCAGCATCCTCCCTTTTTCCCCCCTTTCCTCATGCATCTGGCTTTTATTTCTAGACAAGAGAAGAAGGGAAGGCTCTTTTGCGACAAATCTTACAGTTACGAAATCAAGGGGAGACATCAAATACAGAGACGGCAGCCACACCTTTCCTACTTCCTTCTTCACTCTCTGCCAACAATACTCCAACCCGCCGAGTATCCCCACTGAATTTGTCTAATATTACACCTTGAACTGAACTACCTTTCTGTACTGGCTCAGTCGAGAGGACGATCCTGTTGTAAACTGGGTCTTTCTCTTGAATACTGCCGTTCTAGGAAGGCTTGTGTATTCAGTTCGGGTGACTGACATCACGTTGCTGAGGATGACTGTCTATTGTATTGTAACCATAAAATGGTAATAGCTCAGACAGTGCAGTGAGCTGAATTCACTGTACATCTCAGTCTTCTTACAAGTCTGGCACCTGCGAGAGAGAGAACCTCTCTTTACACTGGCTGTGGGGTTGCTTTCTGTCCCTTTCTTCATCACATGCCTTTCTGAGGATGTTGCAGTAAGATGCAAGTTATCCGTTTATCAGACTTGCGTCATATTTGAAACCGTATCACATTTATTTGAAACTGAAAAGGAGTGAGTGAGCACCTGACTTTGTTTTTTTATTATGTGACTAATAAAAGTTTATCTTAAAAGATAGCAACAAGATAGAGAACGTGGATGGAAAAGCGAATAGGTCACATCTAATTTAATGCTAGGCTGAAACTGGCAACATAAAGTGATGAGTCTATTTTATGCCAGCAGGTGCAGTGTTGCTGCTTTCCCACACAGGCTCTAGAAATTGTAAAGACTATTTTAATTAAATATTTTGTTAAGAATCAGGAAATTACTTGAACAAACCTGTTCATTTCTTTGACTTAGCAGCTTGTAAATGCTCAGTTTTTAAACAATGACTATGTTATTATAGCTTAATGATTGTAATCAGTCTTTAAATGTCAGGACTGTTAGAATTCAGGAATCATAAAACAATTTTGTGTGGTTAAGAATCATGTTATCATTACCGTTTATCAGTATATTTTCAAGAAATCAGATTTATGGCTTCTGACATGTTTCAGAGATGTTGAGACTTCAGTATTCATATGTAGAAGTTTATCCTCCTCAAGGAAACTCAGCGTGGGAAACAGCCTTCCAAATTTATAGCAGATAAGTCAGTATCAGCCAATTGCTTGGATCATCTACTTATAAAAAAATTCTTATAAAGTAGAAGTAATCTAGCTATCCCATACTTCTATAATTGTAAAATAATCCAACCCACTGTTGTACTGTATGGTAATCATTACATTTGGTGCCTTGTTATATTAGTGGAAACTGAAGCAAGACTGCCACCCTTTGAATAGTAGATCTATTTTTTTCCACATTAAAATCAATAAATTTGTGCACAAGGAGGTTCCTGCAAAATAGAGAACCAGAGTTGTGTTTGTGTTGGTTGTTGTTCTAGAAGTATCCCTCCTTTAGCCTTGGATTATTATTCCAAGGCTAAACTTGGAATAATGCCTCACATGATTATCAAAATCTAAATATCTTTTGCTATTGAAATGAGGTATTTATCAAAGTTAGTGTATACCCATAATTTTAACAAATGCCAGTTGCTCAGGTGAAGCTGAAGCCCATTGACAGGTGCAGGACAATGGCTACCACAAAAAAAGACCTTTCAAATATAAAAGAGTCCCCTGAGAAACGTCCCAAGACCTGAATAGCTACATGGGAACGCTTGCACTTCTGGTCGGCATTATTTGTGAGTTGTAATACATTGTCACACTAGCTGTTGCCAAAGCCTGTAACTTTTTTTTTTTACCAAAACTGGGTAAAAGCTGTCTGCTATAAATCTATAGGAGCATATAACACTGCCTAATGTTGACATTAATGTTGACAGAAGACGGTTTTCTAAAAATGCCCTCACTTTCTGAGGACCATTTGCCAAGTACATGGGAAAAGGCCTCCTGTGTTATTCCCAAATTAAAGGAGACAAATCTTTGGGAGATGTGCTGAGGCTTCACTTCAGCTTTTAGGGAAGAAGCCAATGTTTTCCTTTCAGTAGTTGAAAGAAAGGTTGTGATCCCTCTGAGCACATTTGAATTGGGTATGGCCTTGTTAACCACCTTGAATGCCTTAGATAGAAAGAAGATATAAATTGTAAGAATATTTTGCAATATTCCCCCCTCCAATTCCTCTAGAAGGAACTCTATCTGGCCAATATTTTTAAACACCTCAATTGTATCGAATCCAGTCTACACAATTCTATAACATTTCAGAAGTGAAAACAACACATTTATTATCTGTTTAACATAGATAAAAATATATGTGGTTCTGCATGCTGTGTAACATTTTTTTAAAACAAAAATAAAACAGACATAACATAAATCTAGGTTACATAACCACTGGAATAGCAGCTGGCCTGGAAGAAAAAACATGCATAGTAATCATCTTTGGGAAGCCAAAGGTGTTTTAAAAAAACCTCTCAGGCCGTATCTCACTAAATATAGTATAATTCATATACATTAATTGGATCCAAAGGTAATTGTACTTGAGGCCGACCTGTTTAAGGCACTTGGTCACAATCCTCTTTTAAACTCTTAAAAGCTTTCCTGTATGTGGAGCCAACTCACTGATGGTAAAGGCACTAATTGGCTGCCCTGCCTGACAAGGCCTGGGTTCAAAGCATTCAGTATTTTTTGCTAAAGGGCATTGGTTTAAACTCTGGAGTTCCTCGGGCACGTAAGATGCGAGTATAAGGGCTCTCCGTCGCTGCAGGCTGAGCCACTGTCCGAGTGAGGAAGTTGTGCAAGAATGGCTTCTTGATGGGAGGCTGACTCTTGGGCTGCAAGTTTTCATTATTTGCAGAGAAGCGTTTTTTCATAGAAGCAGGTGCCGCCACGTGTGCTGCAGCCTGGAGCTTCTGTACAGTCTGATATTGCTCTGCAATACAGGCAGCTTTCCTCCGCATATCCAGCTTCACCAGTATCATGTTATTCTGAAGTTCAGCCAAGGTCTGGTCCTAGAAAGAACATCCAGCCAAAAGATGGTGATAGTGATTTATCCAGACCAGTGGTCCTGCCAATCCAGCTGCCTCCTAGCTCTATGAACTGAAAGTGACACACTAATTTGTGCCTCTTCCAGGCTAACTAGCACCATTTTGATCAGCCAGAGACCTGCTCAAAACTGCATGAATAAACAGCCTCATCTCCATAAGATCTGTTGATTGACTTTGGGTTTGGAATGCAAAGTGTTACAGTGATACCTTGGTACTTGGTGTTAATTGTTTCTGGGAGGTGCAGCAGGTACTAAAAAGGACGAGTCACAAAACAAAGTACACGATTTACCATGTGACCCTTTGTTTCAGCAGGGAAGAATTTTGTCCGCCCTCTCGCTCCTTTTGCAGCGACCTTCCCAGCATGGCTGACTTCCTGTCTATTCCCCAAAGCTTTTCATGCCAGTAAATAAGGGCTTGTGGCAGTCCTGTCTTCTCAAGGAGTTTTTCTCTTTAGTACTGTACTTGGTAAAAGCATTCCCCAGCCCCCCCACCAATTAAAAGAAAATCTAATTTATTGGGCTGCTGCCTCTGCTTCACCATTTTACATTTTCTTTATGCCGAGGGATTACATTTTGCAATTTGCTTATGCTATAAGGCAGGGGTGGGCAAATGTGGCCCTTTTACAACCTGTGGACTTCAACTCCCAGAATTCCTGAGACAGCCAAGCTGGCTCAGGAATTCTGGGAGTTGAAGTCCACAGATCATAAAGGGGCCATATTTGCCCACCCCTGCTATAAGGCAGTGTTCCTCGGCCAGGCGAAGATCTGCGGACTTCAACTCCCAAAATTCCTCAGCTGGCAAGGCCAGCTGGGGAATTCTGGGAGTTGAAGTCCGCACATCTTCGCCTGGCCGAAGTTGAGACACACTGCTATAAGGTTTTCAGCAAAGGATAAAAGCAGCCTATAAAAACAAAGTGTAATCCAAAAAAAGAGCCTCACAAAGTAGCTAGATTCAACAGGCCTTTCCATACCTGCTTGACCAGGATACTGTCACACTTATTGAGGGCTTCGCGGAGTTTCCCAGCACTTGTGCGGTGACAACATGCTCTTTCGGCTGACTGGAACAGCTCACCAAGATTCAGCAGCTCTGAACGTAGCATCCTCACGTTCTGAGAGAGCAAGGAAGAGTCACATAACCAAGTAGAGAAAGACGAGAGCAGAAAGCTTTGATTATAAAGGGCAAGCTTCCCACCAGCGGAGAAGAGGAGCTAGAAAGAATACAGGTAGTCCTTGAGCTAGGACCAATCATTCAGCGATCATTTAAAATTACAGTTGCAAAACTGAACAAAAGGGGTTTACAATTGGCCCACAAAACTGCGAATGCCATCACAGTCACTCAGGCATCCAGTTTGTTACTTCAACGTCACGGTGAGCTGCAGTCACGTGATTGTCACTTGCAACCTTCCGTGTGGCTTCCCATAATATAAGTCAATGGGGAATCCAGAAGGGAAGGTCACAAGTCGCTCTTGTAAGTTGCTCCCACTGCTTTTTCTCCCTAGGAGTTCCACTACACAGAACACGATCCCAGAGAGCCCATGCCAGCCTGCAGGGCCTATCCACGGCCTAACCAAAATGCCCAACCAAATCACATCCACACTCCTTCACATTCCTTGCTCGGGACTCCAGCTTCTACCCACTTAACAACCCATACTGTCCTGGGGTGGTGATGGCAACCTGGACTGCCAGAATTGCTATTGGTAAGTGATGTGGTCACATGACATTTCATTTTATTACTGCATCACTTAATGACAGCAATCCCACTCTCAGGTACTGTTGTAACTCAAGAACTACCTTGGTCAGCAACATCCAAAAGAAAAGAAAATCTAATTTTCTTTAGCAAGCTTTTCCTCCCTCTGTTAAAGTTACCTTTTGACCTTCTCCTAGTTTCCGGTCTAAATCAGCAGCAATGGGCCTTGCTGAAGGTGGAGGCTCCAACATTTTTCGATACTTAAGCAGTTCTGTAGGAAAACAGGGCCAAGTGCAAGAAGAAATTAAGCCTAGCAAATGAATTGCTAATGAACATGGTGGCTTCCAAATCAAGACCAAGCTGTGAAAGATAGAGATGTTCCCTGAGAAATATCAAATCTCTCTTGCTTCTTTTCCACAAAATAAAGCAGACTCACTGAAATTAGATGTGAGGAGATTAGAGATGATGATGAAAATAATTATTTGTTTTTAAAGCTATCATATACCTATACAGTGATGGTCTTACTCAAAGGAAAGCCACTAGTGTCACAGGACACAATTAAGAGGACTAAATAACACAGGACACGGGATAATTTAACATTGGGCAGATGTACATCAATTTTCACAACACTACAATAATTAAGGCAGTTTGACTTTCTCCAGATATATGGTCTGATCTCCATGTGAAATGACAAGAAGAGGGCCTCACCTTTGGTAGATGTACTCAGCTCTGCCTGGCACTTCTCTAGTGTATATTTCACCTCCTGCAATTCGTGCTGCATAGATGTGATTCGTGTGGATCTACGAGAAGGTTCTTCCATATCTTGTCTCTTGTCTGCTTTGGAATTTTCTTGTTTTGCCTCCTGCAAGGCAACTTCCAGCTCTTTGATCTTGTCATCCCGATTCTGAAGAAAAAAATAAATAAGATGCTTTAACTAAGGAAATGGAGGGAAAAGAGCTGCAAGGAGGTACCTCCCCCAAGGTCCCTATAAAAATGTGTCACTCTTAAGTATCAGGGACGAACAACCAGACCCACACTTGTAGAGTTCAAACAAGTTATCTTATTGTTCTATGTGTATTCTGCGGACATCTCCCTATTCTGCTAGCTTTCGCTGGGAAAGGCTAGATAAAACTCAAAGGCATGGGATGATTAGACCTTGCTCTCTTGTGTTTAACAGACTGATTTCCCAGTTGAGCCCTCCTCCCAAATGATTGCTCTCCAAGATCAAGGCAAATTATCACACATGTAAGAATCTTCAATTAGCAAAGAATTTCCATTATAGAATCATGTATCTGCTTTCTTTGTTGTTAGGAATAGTCAGCATTTTATTTATTGACTGGGATTGTAAAATTGCCAAGTTGTCAAGCAGCTCAAGGCTATTTTACCAGCAGGTTCCTAACCTAACCCAGCAGAAAATAACCAAATAGCTACCAACTCTTAAAGGAACATCAGTTTTGGAGAAGAGATTGGGCCAAACTTGACATCCAAGTTTCACCTGGAGTCAGCTAAGCACTTAGAGTTGCAGCAGAGCTTTTTTCTAAGGAACTTCATGTGGCACAAGCCCACCAAAATTTAGACAATTTTAATGCCCACAAGCTTTGGAGTCAGAATGGAAGGAGGGAGGGAGGCAGACAGGCATCAATTACCAGAAGATTGATGGTAGGTCTCTCCACACCACACTACAAATATATTAAAGTTAAAAGAACATTTCTTCTATAAACTGCCACTTCTTTGTTTGTGGCAGATGATATAGTTCCTGTCTCCAGAAAACCCCAGTACATCATCTACCTCTTTTTCCTACCTCAATTTCCTCCAGATAGTAGTCTGTCAGTAACACCTTCAGATTATTCAGTTTGTCTTCATAAAGCTCCTCTAACAACTCCTTTTGGGAATCCATATGGTCACTACAGTAGACATAGAAGGAAAAAGATGACACTGTAAGATGGGTGGATAGAAAGCCATGGATCAATCAGAGGTTTCCTAGAAAGTACAGGTGGCCCAAAAGTACCTGCTCCACTGATCTCTCTGTTGTAGGTGTGTCATCATCTCATTGCAGATTTCATCACGGAGACGCACCTCCAGCTGAAGCTTCTCCCGACGTTCCTTCAGCAGAAGCTGTTGCACAGCTTCAACTATATGCACAAGATCCTGGATTTTGGGATGGGAAAATACAAAGAACATGGTGATTCAGGTTCAATGGGCAGCCATCAGAATGCATCACACCCCCAACCACCTGATTTAAAAGTAGTGATCAATGCTTAAATCAGATGCTCAAAAGCTGAAGGATTCTAAAGCCCCAGAGATGTCCAATTGAGTAGCTCTGAAAACTTCTCCATTCAATAAATAAGGAAAGATCAATCTCTTACCTCCTTATCATATGCAGCCACATCTATTTCATCTTCGCTGTCTTCATCAGATTCTGTTTCTTCATCCAAAACAGACACAGAGGCATTACTAGTTTGAATGCTGTGTTCCTTGACGAGTGAATGGATAGACAAAAGCCCCACCTTTGTAGGAACCTGGATAAGCTGTAAGAGACCAAATTATACTATCAAGTTAAAAAAACAATGGCACTCATTTCCTTCCACCTTATGCCAGGGCTACTCTGAGCAAAATATATTGTTTATGTTTTTGAAAAAGGCTTCCAGGACAAAGTGGCCCTGATGTTTACCCTCAGGAGGAAGCAACTTGTGAAAAAAACAAAACAAAAACCCACCA